TACTCAGGAGGCTGAGGCAGGAGAATTGCCTGAACCCAGGAGGCGGAGGTTGCGGTGAGCCGAGATCGCGCCATTGCACTCCAGCCTGGGTAACAAGAGCGAAACTCCGTCCCAAAAAGAAAAAGAAAAAAAATATATATATATATATAGAATTCTTGATCTTGGGGACTTTGACCATAGCCAAGTGCTATAGTCTAACTGAGACTTTTGGTTTTCTAATTTTGGACAGGCCTAGCATTTTTTTGAGATGGAGTTTTGCTCTTGTTGCCCAGGCTGGAGTGCAATGGCGTGATCTTGGCTCACTACAATCTCTGCCTCCCAGGTTTAAGCAATTCTCCTGCCTCAGCCTTCCAAGTAGCTGGGATCACAGGCATGTGCCACCGTGCTCGGCTAATTTTGTATTTTTAGTAGAGATGGGGTTTCTCCTTGTTGATCAGGCTGGTCTTGAACTCCTGACCTCAGGTGATCCACCCACCTCAGCCTCCCAAAGTGCTGGGATTACAGGCATGAGCCACTGCGCCCAGCCAGTCCTAGCATTTTTTAAGTGGTCTAACTTTTTAAAGTTCTACCTTTTGTGACTGACCTTTATAGAGTGTTCAGACTCTCCAGACCTACCCAAGGCAAGTGCAGTGATGAATTGGTCCACTGTAGGACCCGGGGAGTCTTTGAGTGTGGGTTCTTCGCCCTGTGCATTCCTCTGTGCTTTAATAATAGCCAGTTAAGGCTTCATAAAACCTGCCTAACTCCAGAATTTGAAAACAAATCAGAACATAAAAGTAGCCTGTTTATAAAAAGCTCCATTTAAAGTAAACTTTCATTTTGTAGGGGCCGTGGTGTTGGACCACCTCGGGGGGCTTTGGTACGTGCTACACCAGTAAGGGGAGCCATTACCAGAGGTGCCACTGTGACTCGAGGCATGCCACCCCCACCTACTGTGAGGGGTGCTCCAGCACCAAGAGCACGGACAGCGGGCATCCAGAGGATACCTTTGCCTCCACCTCCTGCACCAGAAACATATGAAGAATATGTAAGAAATTTGAACAGTATGCCATTTTCCAATACCTAGAAGGTTGCCAAAGGCAGTCAAATGACAGGGCCTCGGTCCTTTATGTAGGTGTCATGGGCTACCTGTAAGATTTGGAAGCTGACCTCTTCTTGCAGTGAATGTTGAACTATTAGAAGATTTTTCCATTTTAGGCTTGATTTTCTATATGTCTGTAGATTAAACAGGAAATAAAATATACCTTAATGTAGTGTTTTATAACGAATTTCTTAACCACTAGTACTGATAATACTAAAGCTTGATTTTTGTAATTTTTCCTGGACACTTGTTCTATGGCATATATTTGTTTGGGTTTTGTTTAGTAACCCTTTCTCTTTTGATTATTCTATAGTAGGCATTAACATTTTGGAGGGAAATGTCATGTCCTTTTTTAATCCAGAAGCCTACCTACTCCCATGGGATATAATTACCTTTCCTACTCTCTATGATTTTGATCTTTTATTTATTTATTTTTCTGTTCTAGGGATATGATGATACATATGCAGAACAAATTTACGAAGGCTATGAAGGCTATTATAGCCAGAGTCAAGGGTGAGTCAGGCAATATAAGCTCTGTTTTATGTCCTAAGGATGGAGGGAGGGAGTTGGAGGAACAGAGAGATTTAGACAGCACAACCCTAAGGAGCAGAATTATTCACATTTTGAGGATATCTCCTCTGTACTCCCCACACAAACCTAACTGTCTTGATCTTGAGCTCAAGCAATCCTGCCACTTTAGTCCTAATAGTTGGTATTATAGGCACATGCCACCATGCAAGGCTTTCCTCTGCTTCTGACATCTGTGAAGCACACACTTGGATTTGTAAATTTGTATAACTCTAAACCTTAAATTATAATTTAGAACCTGAGAGTAGCAGATGAAAAATTTCCGAGCTGTGACTACATGGAAACAAGGAGAAATACCTTTACATTATTTTGATTTATTGTTTTAAAATATCAAAACCACATTGAAGTTGCATAAAATTTTACAAGAAACTTGAATTCCATTACCATAACTTAGGTTCTTTTCTGTATTTCTCTTCCCTGCCCTTCCCCACTTCTGTGTTTCTCTTTAAGACCATTTTCTTGTGTGTTCATATATATATAGCTTACCTGTGAATTGATTGAAAAGAGTCTCAGTTCTATGGTAGTAATAAAACAGTTCTTTTTTCCTTCTGGTGAGCCCTATGAATACATGTATATGTATGCTATATTAAGAGGGTTAATTTAGGATTGTGCTTTTTCACTTAATATTCTGTGATACCCATTTTTCTTTGCTATAGTTGTCATAATTATTTTATAAGTAAATATATATGTATTTTGGAAATATTTTTGGCATCTAGGGATGGGTTAGAATGAGCATTTTCCTGTATTAATACATGTAGTAAAATAACTGAAATATGAAAGTATTTGAAAAAAAGGTGAAACTAAAACATAGTTACTCTGTAGCTTCCTAACATTCTTGTCTTTGGCTTTCAGGGACTCAGAATATTATGACTATGGACATGGGGAGGTTCAAGATTCTTATGAAGCTTATGGTATGTCTTTATCTCTGTGGTGGGGCAGAATGTACAAGTAAGTGCCTTGGAGAATACTGGTGCCTGAAGTATTGAGAGTCAGACAAACACACCTAAGGATAAACCTTTAGAAGGCCAAGATGTTGCTAGATGTGACAGCGGGAGTTCTGCTCTTAAATTTTGTGGTACATGGTAGAAAGAGGGACTGCTAAAGTGAGGTGGGGTATTGTTACTCTTGGAAGGGTAGTGCATGTCTTATCCTAGGGCTCAAGACCAGGTTGGCCTTTTTGGAGCAGACTTATAAGCTAATGTTGATTTTTTTTCTACTTCAGACAGGGAAATAGCTAGACCTAGTTGTATTTCTGGGCCTTTGCTGCTGATATCTAGGGCACTTTGGCAGATAACAAGGACTTAATCATACACAACTGTACTCATCTGCCCCACTTCATTAAAAAATTAAATCTCATTGAAAATAATGTCATTGTAAAGGAAATGTCAGCTGAAAGGGTCCTAGATGGCTGGTAGCTAGCCAGAGCAGGCTGGGGGGCGAGAATAGTGCCTATTAGGGCCAGTCATGGTGGCTTACACCTATAATCCCAGCACTTTGGGAGGCCAAGTTGGGCAGATCACCTGAGGTCAGGAGTTCGAGACAGCCTGGCCAACATGGTGAAATGCCGTCTCTACTGAAAATACCAAAAAGGCAGACACTGTGGCTCACTCCTGTAATCCTAGCACTTTGGGAGGCTGAGGTGGATAGATCACCTGCGGTCAGGAGTTCGAAATGATCCTGACAGACATGGAGAAACCCCATCTCTACTAAAAATATTTTATAAAGTAGCCAGGCATGGTGGTACACGCCTGTAATCCCAGCTACTTGGGAGGCTGAGGCAGGAGAATTGTATGAACCCGGGAGGCAGAGGTTGCTGTGAGCCAAGATTGAGCCATTGCACTCCAGCCTGGGCAACAAGAGCAAAACTCCATCTTAAAAATAATAATAATACATAAAAATAAAAATACAAAAAAAAAAATTAGCCAGATGTGGTGACAGGCTCCTGTAATCCCAGCTACTTGGGAGGCTGAAGCACGAGAATCGTTCGAACCCAGGAAGTGGAGGTTGCAGTGAGCCAAGGCCTCACCATTGCACTCCTGCCTGGGCAACAAAAAAAAAACTCCATCTCAAAAAAAAAAAAAAAAAAAAAAGAATAATGCCTATTAGAATCAGATTAGAGGCTGTAGGGCCTAGAGCCAATTCAGGACAGTTCTGGCACCAAGCTCCTTGTTGGCTTGAAGACATCTCAACACAGTCCTTGATCCCAAGAGAGCTATGGAGGCTGCAATAGCAGCAGGACCAGGCTGCCTTCCCTGAGGTTTGGTTAAAAACACATTGCTCAAGTGTGTCCTCAACAGCCAGTTATGGCCCTGTGTTAATAGGCCTCAGTGGGAATACTGTATGGCAGTGGATGCAGCAAGAGCTACCTTTTCAGTGTGAGGTGTTTTCAGCATACCTGAGGGACTTCCAGAGAGTCCTTGGCAGGGGCTCAGCAATTGACAATTCATGCTGAGATACTTGGTTGACAATCTCCTCTTATCCCTAGTTGAAAAGGAGGAGCCCCTTTGGGCCTCCCAGAGACAGACAAGCTGAGCCCAACTCAGCACAGTACGAAGTAGCCAATCAGCTTCTTGCCCAAGGAAACTTATTACCAGTTTTAGCGAAATGGCACTGGACAGTTGCCAATTACTAACACTGCTTTGCTCTGCTCATATACCACTATTTAGAAGGGCAGTGTGATTGCACCCAAGTATTTCCCTCCATCATTGAGGCAGTACAGTGGGGCCTCTGTATGTGTTTGACTAAATTGCATTTCTGTTTTGCTGGAGAAAAGACCAAACTGAAAGAGGCAGGCTTCTCTTTGTGCCCCTGATATGATGTTGCCACAGTTAATCTGTTCCAATCTCTGCTTTAACAGAATTAGAAAAATAAACTGTCCAGGATGATCTGTATACTTGAGGAAAAAAAGAAAAACCGTCTTATTGATACCCAGTAGCCACTTGGAAAGTGATGGACATGTGTGTTATAATACTAGGGGTTTAATTAGGGTTCTGTGTGACTTTAGATCTATATAGTAGGAGTTTGAGGCCAATAGTGATAGAGGCAGATATTTGTCAATACAGGCAGCTGGAAAAATACTTCAGGAATGAACTGGTGTGTGTAAGGTGTGGGAAGAATAAGTTTAAACGCAGTTTGTTTTCATGAGGTCACTTCTAGAAATACGTGATCATATCCCTCAGGCTTTTCTCTGTCACAAAGAGAACCATTTGAAGATGATTGTTGTCTGGATTCTCTCAACTGTTGACTTAAGAAAAGAGATATGGTTGGGAGATACTAAGAAACCACTAAGAAAAAATTTAAAAAATAAAAAGAAAACAGATCAGGAATTTTGTTTTGTTTTGTCTTGAGATGGAGTCTGGATCTGTTGCTCAGGCTATAGTGCAGTGGCACAGTCTCAGGTCACTGCAACCTCCGCCTCCCAGGTTCAAGCGATGCCTCCTAAGTATCTGGGATTACAATACAAGCATGCCACCATGTCCGGCTAATTTTTGTATTTTTAGTAGACACGGAGTTTCACCATGTAGGCCAAGCTGGTCTTGAACTCCTAACCTCGTGATCGACCCGCCTCTGCCTCCCAAAGTGCTGGGATTACAGGCATGAGCCACCTTGCCCGGCCTTAGAATTATTTTAAACAGTGCTGTCAGTGCAACATTTGATTGCACACCCCTCAGCCAGAGAGCAGTGTCAGCTCTGCTGGTGGAGGGCCTCATGAAAAGTGGCCCTTGCTTACTTTTCCCAGAGAGCCAGAGGATACTTCTCCTTGAGGAAACATGACTTGCTGTTGCGTGGAAGTGGGGCTGGCTGCCTGCTTCCAATCTGAAAGACTTAGAGAAGTTTTCCTACCTTACCTCAGGCTGCCTGCCATATTGTTCTGGGAACTGGAAAGGCCATTGCAGACTCACTAAGATTAATGACTTCCTCACTGTCTCAAGCAAGGTGTTGGGTATCTCCAGATTTGGGGACTAGAGTATAGATCATGTTTGTCTATGAAGAACTTCATTGTGGGAGATTACTCCAGAGTCAACGGCAGCCCTTTTGGATTTGTTCCCTTCTCTCCTTCCACTCAAAACTGAAAATTTGCCTAGGCTGTCCAACAGGGTCAAACCCAGTAGAGAGCAAGGAACACCAGGGGAAATGTCAAGACGTTAGAAGAAAAGCAGTGTTTTTGGTGATCTTTACTTTGTGACCTATCCCCGCTCATCCCTAAGTGCTGTTAGAACATGGTTTATAAACTGTCTTTGTTTTCCCCACAGGCCAGGACGACTGGAATGGGACCAGGCCATCACTGAAGGCCCCTCCAGCTAGGCCAGTGAAGGGAGCATACAGAGAGCACCCATATGGACGTTATTAAAAACAAACATGAGGGGAAAATATCAATTATGAGCAAAGTTGTTACTGATTTCTTGTATCTCCCAGGATTCCTGTTGCTTTACCCACAACAGACAAGTAATTGTCTAAGTGTTTTTCTTCGTGATCCCCTTCTTCTCCCCACCTTATTCCATTCTTAACTCTGCATTCTGGCTTCTGTATGTAGTATTTTAAAATGAGTTAAAATAGATTTAGGAATATTGAATTAATTTTTTAAGTGTGTAGATGCTTTTTTCTTTGTTGTTTAAATATAAACAGAAGTGTACCTTTTATAATAAAAAAAAGAAGTTGAGTAAAAAAAACACACAAACCTGTTAGTTTCAAAAGTGACATTGCTTGCTTAAAGGTTCTGAAGTAAAGGCTTGTTAACTTTCTCTTAGTTTTGATTTGAGGCATCCCGTAAAGTTGTAGTTGCAGAATCCCAAACTAGGCTACATTTCAAAATTCAGGGCTGTTTAAGATTTAAAATCACAAACGTTAACGGCAGTAGGCACCACCATGTAAAAGTGAGCTCAGACGTCTCTAAAAAAATGTTTCCTTTATAAAAGCACATGGCGGTTGAATCTTAAGGTTAAATTTTAATACGAAAGATCCTCATGAATTAAATAGTTGATGCAATTTTTAACGTTAATTGATATAAAACAACAACAAAATTAGGCTTGTAAAACTGACTTTTTCTTTACGTGGGTTTTGAAATCTAGCCCCAGACATACTGTGTTGAGAGATACTTAGGGGTGGGAGTAGGTTTTGAAGAGGTTGATGGTGGTGGGAAGGTAGGCCTCCTGAATTGAGTTTGATGCAGAGCTTTTTAGCCATGAAGAATCTTTCAGTCACAGTACTAATAATTAAAATTTCAGTATTTAAAAAGACAAAGTATTTTGTCCATTTGAGATTCTGCACTCCATGAAAAGCTCACTTGGACGCTGGGGCCAAAAGCTGATGATTTTCTTAAGTTGACAGTTGTCAATATTGAACTGTTCCCAAGATAGTCAAATATGTCTCAACACTAGCATGATATAAAAAGGGACACTGCAGCTGAATGAAAAAGGAATAAAAATCCACTTTGTACATAAGTTAAAGTCCTAATTGGATTTGTACCGTCATCCCATTTTGTTCTCGGAAGATTAAATGCTACATGTGTAAGTCTGCCTAAATAGGTAGCTTAAACTTATGTCAAAATGTCTGCAGCAGTTTGTCAATAAAGTTTAGTCCTTTTTTAATCAAAGTAAATGTGATGAATTGTCATTTTTTTGGGTGGACCATAAAATAGTTTTCTCTTTCAAATAAACTTAAATTAACTAAAGTTAATGGGCTTGTTAAAAGTTGGAAACATTCTTAAAAGTGGTGGGGGGGATTTTATTTTAAGTTTACCAAAAAAAAAGTTGATGGAGTTGTTAAGTTTTAGTTTAAAAATAATCAAAGCTTTTTCACCCCCTGGAAGTTGTTGGAAGCAGTTGTATCCAATCCTATCAAAAATTCTAATTTATGGAGAGTTTTCAACTCAACTGAGCTGAAACTTGGATTGGTTTCTATACATAGGTCTCAGTATTCAAAAGTGTAAGCCAGCCTGGTTTGCACCTTCTGTAGAGCCCCTAGGTGGCTCTAAAGTGTGACACCAAGTAACTTCTGTGAGCTCAGAAGGGGACAGCACCTGCTTTAGGCATGACAGTTCAGCCAACTCTGGATGCCCTTGACGGTTTCTCTTTCAAACCCAGAAATACTGAAAAATCCGCTGGGCTGGAGCAGGATTTGGCATGATAGGCTGGCTCTGAACCCCCTCCTAAGAGACCAAGAGAGGAAGTGATGGAATTGGTTGGTCCCATTTCTACTCTATGCTGATTCTCAGGGTTGTTCTCATGGCTTCCCTCTTAGAGCCACCTAAACTGCTCGGGGGTGAAAAATCCTCTTGTATTGAAGTGCCAAGCTGCCTGCAGCAGTGCATGATGGACATTTTTTTTTCTTTTTAAAACACACCAACAAAAAAATGTATTTGTAGATTGTGATAAAGTGTAAATAACTGAATTTTCAACCATGGTTTGAAGTCAGCTTTCAGGGCATTATGTCTTGTTTTGATGAAAAGAGATCACTCTATACCCCCCTTTTTAAAGGAAAATTATCGCAAGAGAATCAGGATGTGTAAAGCTAACATGCATCGCAAAAAACCAAAGGTAACCTAAATGTCTGATTTTAATAGCACATATTTCTCTTTTACATAAACTGTGACAGCAACTTGCATAAACAATTCTTTAGCTGTTAATTTTAATGTTAAAACTTTGCAAAACTTGTTTAATAAAAATAGCTGTAAAAAGAAAAACCATTTGTTGCCGCATAAATTAGCCATAACTCTTAATAATCCTGCCCATCACAAGTGAACTGTAATGTAACCTGGGCACAAAGTCTGACATCTTAAATGACACATTGTAAAATTTCAGTGACTGTAGATTAGACCTCCTGCTGCACCCCAAAGTAAAGCTTTCTGCTCAGCTATTTAAAAATGTGTAAGGATGAGTCCCTGTAGGTCCCCATATTGATATTCACAATGAAACTTTACTTAAAAATTTCTTAAAAGTTGCATGTTTCTCCTGTATTGTGTAAACTGCATGCAGGATCTCTATCTTTTATTTTTTATGTTTAAAAATTCCTCTTCAAAAGACTGATCTGTTATTTCTCCACTTTCAGGTGATTGAAACCTCCTGAGGCATTTCCTGGACTAGAATGGGTAGTGAAGACCCATGTCAGGTATGTTAAGGTGGCTTTCTATTAAGGACCACGGGCCTTTTATCATAACTGTAAAACAGTTACGCCAGGAGGTGGCCTATAAGATGGTCAATGGATTAATCTTTTTTGTAGTCATTTGTACTTTATTTACAACATGCCAAACTTACATGTCCATACTGAATTTAATTCTAATGGTTGATGAGGTCAGACAGTATCAACTTAGATCTGTTGAATCTCACTCTATTTATCCTGTTAATAACCTATTGAGGCGGTGTTCCACTTGGAGGTCATTGGTTGCAAGCAACAAAATGGCTAATGTAAGTAAAAGAAACTTTATTAGAAAAATGTTAGGGACTCACATTTAGGGTTAAGGCTAGAAAATCTGGTGTGAGAACCATAGTAGCTACAGTGAACTGGGACAACAGTGGTAGACTGCAGGAATTATCTTGGCTCCTTGGGCACAACTCAAAATCTCTGCCTCTACTCAAAATTCAGGTTTTAGAGAGGGAATGTCAGACTGGATTAGCTGAGTCACATGCGTAAGAAGCAACCGATTCCTCACAAGGCAGCTGGGGAGTTATTAGGAAAGTGTCCAGTAATATCCGTATTTTACAGAAGTAACTTAGACCTAATGAGTATGACTGGTACTCAAGCCCAAGTTTTGTGTTGCCAAAACCTGTCATCTTAACCCTATACTATACTGTCCTTAATCTAGGGAAAGGGTATTTCTTATGCTTAGGAGATCCTTCATAGGGATAACTGTGGTATAGAATCAAGGACATGGAGCCTAAAGAAGACTTTTTCCTAAAGTTTAACTCCCTGGTTTGTGTATTTGGGGCTGTGACAACAGTGAGCTTTCCTGTTAATTGAAGTCATTAAGTAACTTAACTGGCTAGTATTTCTCTCTGTCCTGAGTGAGGTGTTAGGATTAGGATGACACTAAGGAGAAAGGCCTAACTAGGTAAGCTAAAGGCACATAGAACCTTTCACAGTGAAATTTGGTTTCTTGGAATTTTTTTTCTTCCAAACCTGCCTCTCAGTCTCTGAGAGATCTGGAAGCCTTAAGGAGGGGCATGTGTACTGAGCAAGATTCTGGGCACCTGGCAAGTCCTAAGTTTAATATTGGTCACATGAACGGCTAGGAAATTAGGAGGGGGGAATCCCTGAATGCAGAGAATTTAGTCTCAACTCTTCCTAGGGTAGTCAACAAAAATGGATTAGAAGTTTGGGGAAACTTTTCATTTGAATTGTGATCTGTGCTTGGAAAGGCAGGTTCTGTTGTTTGTGGATCCAGGCATGCTGATGGTGTGCCTCTTCTGGACGTGTAGCGTCTCCCATTGATCCAAGTGTTTTCTGTAACATTTTATTACTACCTGAGAACTTTTTTTTTCTTTAAGACAGAGTCTCATTCTGTTGCCCAGGCTGGAGTGTAATAGTGCAATTTTGGCTTACTGCAACCTCCTTCTCCCGGGTTCAAGCAATTCTCATGTGTCAGCCTCCCGAGTAGCTGGGATTATAGGCACACAACACTATGCCCGGCTAATTTTTATATTTTTAGTAGAGAGTGAGTTTCACCATGTTCAGGTTAGTCTTGAACTCCAGGCTTCAAGTGATCTGCCCACATCAGCCTCCTAAAGTGCTAGGATCACAGGCGTGAACCACTGCACCCAGCTGACCTGTGAACTTTTATTACAATTCTGTAAGCTCTAGAGACAGGCAAGATTGGGTATCTGTCCTGGCTCTGCTTCATGTGAGCCTTTGTTACCTTAGTCAGAAACAAAACCTTTAACCCCTTTCAGTGCCTCATTTATCATCAAATGAAGTTGATGATAATAGCTGACATTTATCCCTATGTGCATCAAAATATCCTAACAGAGTTAATAAGTATTTCATTTGGTCCCTTTCTACCTTTGTTTCTATTTTGAGAGAAAATTCACATAGCATAAAATTTACAATTGTAAAGTGTACAATGTAGTAGTTTTTAGTATATTTGTACTGTGCAACCATTCCCATTATTTAATTCCAGAATGTTTCCATCACTCTAAAAAGAAATCTTATATCTGCTAGTAGTCACTCCCAACTATACTCTCTCCCCAGCTGTTGGCAGCCACTAATCTTTCTGTTTCTGTGGGTTTGCCTATTCTGAGCATTCCATATAAATGGAATCATACATGCTTTTTGGAATTGGCTTCTTTGACTTTGCATAGTATTTCCAAGGTTCATCCAGGTTATAGCATGTAATGTAGTACTTCATACTAGTCATAGGAAACATTACTTCCAAAACCAGACCATTTCATTGGAGACAGCTCTAAGTATTCTATCTCTCATTTTGAATGAGACCTGTACCTCAGTAATTTAAATTGACTCTGCTTTGGACCCCGGAAGCAATATCCTTTCAGATATTTGAAGATTGTTTTCATTCCTGTGTCTTTCCCATCTCTAAAAATTTTCTTGACTGTGCATGGAAGCTCATGCCTGTAATCCCAACACCTGGGGAGGCTGAGGTGGGAGGATCACTTGAGACCAGGAGTTCAAGACCATACTGGGCAACATAGCAGACTATCTCCACAAAAAGTAAAAAAATTAGCTGGGCATGATGGCTTGTGCCTCTAATCCTAGCTACTCGGGAGGCAGAGGCAGGAGGATCACTTGAGTCTAGGAGTTTGAGGTTACAGTAAGCTATGATCATAACACTGCACTCCAGCCTGGGTAGAAAATTTTTTCGTTGGCCTTGCAAGATCTGATTTTCATGAGAAACTAGAAATGTGGATTTTATATACAGTCATTTAATATTTCCTCAGATTTTTTCTTCTTCTTCAAATCGTGAAATTGTTCAGATTTGAAAAAATACTATTGGTCCCAGTAACATATATTTGCTGCATCCCAAATGTGGCTTTTAGCCTACCAGTTTTGCAGCCTCTGGTTAGCTTCTGTTAGTATAAATTAAAGGGCATGTTAGCATTTTTAAGTGATTCTTTTTGGACAGACTTAACTGTCCTAGTTGCAAAGAAGTCTAGAGTTTTGGGGAAGATTTACCATAACAACTTTATTGAGATATAATTCGTATACCATACTGTTCTCTCACTTTATTAAAGTGTACGGGTCAGTGGTTTTTAGTATATACACAGAGTCATTCAGTCATCACTACAGTCCATTTGAAATCACCATCCAAAAAAGAAACAAACCCCATGCCTTTTGTCTGTCTCCTGCCAGTCTACTTACCCCTCCAGCCCAAGGCTGCTACTCTGCTTTCTGTCTTTGTAGACTTGCCTGTTGTGGACATGCGCTAAAGATGACAAGGATTTAGCCTCCAGAAGGCTAAGTCCAAGGGTTTAGCCAGTCACAAAAGACCACTTACTGTATGATTTGCATGAAATCATACAGTAAGTGGTCTTTTGTGACTGGCTTCTTTTCACTTAGCATAATGTTCTCAAGGTGCATCCATGTTGTAGCATGTATTAGTACTTTGTTCTTTTTTTTAACTGTCAAATGTGATTTCATTGTATG